ACTGTTGATTTATTGTCTGAAATATACTAATTTTTTATATTCAGTTTCCTGCATTGCTAAACGAATAGTTGATTCTATTTCGTGAATAATGTCATCATATTTTCGAAGAAAAAATGTTTGAAGTATAATAACGACTGACGATTCTTAAGTATAGCATGAATACATTGAAGTACTAATAAAAGTATAATAAAACTCTAATAATCAAGTAAGACTTATAGTCTAAATTTTTTAAGATCTTGTTGAAAAATAAATCCATAAAAAACAATTTCAAATAATTTGCATTTTTATTGCGGTTTTTCTTTTTATGAAAATGAAAATGAAAGGATGAAAAAACTAAAGAAAAAAAATCACTACATGAATCATTGTTTTGAATGAGTATTCTTATGAGAGAATCTCAAATTTATAAATTCCATGAAAATTACAGTTTGTTTTATATAATATATAATATAATATACATTTTATATCACTACTAATTTAATAAATACAATAAAATATTAAACAATTTTACACAATGTAAGAAGTCAAAAATTTTAAATATCCGTGCTTCATATTATTTTATAATAAAAATTATGTAAGAATTAATATCACCGTTTTGATCAAAACTTTTAATTTTTTCTTATAAATATTATCAATTTGATATTCATAAATTAATATAAAAATCAATATCATTCATTGCAAGTTATTAATTAACATTTATTTATAAACTATTTTAAAAACTTATAATTTTTAGCATATAATATATGAAATAAATATGACGAATATGAAATAATAAATTACATCTACGCTTGCTTCAGTTTCTTAACAATAGCAACTATTAATTACATGATTGAATAAATTACGATTGACAATAAATAATAAATGTTTGTTATTAAAAATATTAAAAACTTTGAAACATTAAATATTTTCATAAAAAATTAATCAAATATCATTTTATATGCAAAAAATAATATCGTATTGCACATATTTAAATTTAAAAATCATATATGACTATGTTCGCTTAAAATAGATATTCAATATTTATATAAAACCTCGTGTATTTTTATTAGACAAGAAGGCACGAAAATACTCAAAATTAATGTTTAAATAATTTCTTTCAAATCAGTTGCTATTTTTAAGTAAATTTACTTTTTAATGCAAATAAGAAAAGTAACATCTGCTACAGTCACTGGCTACAATCTCTTCAAAGTTTATAATGTAATTATAAATTCAAATTATATGAATTTGTAGTTCACAAGAAATAAAAAAACTGTCATAACTATCATTGTAAATTTCCTAGCTTATCGCAAGAAAGCGCTGAGTTACGACTATGCACATTGTGAATGAGAAAAGCAATGCCGACACACATTTTTCCCTCTACCACGTGAGCAATTATTATACTTGATAAAAGATCCCCAATGCGTATTGTTACGAAAGAAGAATATTAAAATAAACTGAAAAATGAATAAGGCGTAAAATAAACAATGTTCACCTGTTGAGCACCTGGAGTAGCTTTATTCCAGAGCACCATGAGTCCGCGGTTGTAGCCAATCAGAATGTTGTCTGGGTGGCCTGGTTGTTCGGCAATGGCCTCAACAGGCCCAGGATTCACTTTGAAGTCCTTGGGTACACTGCAGCAACACAAATTTTATCATGATTTTCGTTATTCTGTATTCGCAACATACAAGAAGGCTCGTATGATTTTTAAATAAGAGTCTATTGATGATTCAAAAATTTTTGTAGAATCCAATGGAAGAAAATAGTTGTCAAAATGGATGTAACAGATGGTACGTCCTTATTTTCACATTTTACATTTATAATAACTTTCTTAAACACGCATCAGCGATATCTTATCGCGACAACTATAATTTTCAAAAGATGATTTTATATTCGTAATCTTTGGTATCTGACAATAGAAAATTAGCCAGTCAAAGAAATTGATATTCATGGCGCCTTATTCATAAAATGCAAACAAATTTAGTCTTATGTAAATTATATAAAATATTTGAAAAGTATGTATAATTGTATAACTTATTGAAATGCTCATTTAGAAATAATGATAAATAAGTATTATGATGAATAAATTATTCGGTCGTTATCAAGAATAAATAATATTCAAAATATCAATAATCACTTACTTTTGCATGACTACATCTTGATAAATTATAGTGTCGGACATCGTAAAAGTCCTGAGATTCAAAAGGTAGATATTGCCACCCTCGGTTCCCAGCAAGAGATGATCGCCATTAGATTCGAGACACATTGCTGAGATCTTTTTTAATTTACCTTCCAATGATAGCGACTTAGTTTCAATAACTGAATTCTCATTGATTTCCCAAAGATGTAATGAATTGTCGTCACAGAGTGAAACCACGCGCCCCTAGAAATTAATTTTAATTAAGCATTTCATCTGCAATTAATTTTAAAGACGAGATATAAATTTAATACTAATGTTTGCATTTTAACGTAAAAATTTACTTTATTAAGAGCTATATGCTAACTGAATGCTAAATTAAAAGTTCTATTACAATATGAAACGAATTAACATTATACGAAAATCTATTTTTTATAATTATACTTCGTTTTCATTTTTAACAATTAATTTTTCATATTTATTAAAAAATACTTAGTAATTTAACTTATTGGAAATAGATATATATATATATATATATATATATATATATATATTATAAACAAAATTTCTTACATTATACTATGTACTATTAAATAATTATAATATATTAATTGTTCCTATTGAACATATGAGTGAGTTAATGTGCTTATATTGGTTTTCTAATAATTAAATTTCATAAAATATTTAATGTAAAATGTGTGTGAAATTAAAATAACTAATTATTTAATTGAAAAAAAAAAAATTATATTAATCACATATTACCATGACTTAAAATATTTTGTTTATTACTCCTTTCAAGTTTAAACTACAATTTTACATTATGAAAGAGAAATTAATTAATAAATTGCTTTCATTTGAACTTACAGAGTGTTCCGCAATAGATTATTTTCTTTCTTAAAAATTAATACTCTCAATGACACGAGTTAATATTTATTTTTAAAATTCATAAATTAAAATGTGACTTGGATTGGAATTTATGTTAAACATATGTACTTCATAAAAGTATAGTTCCCTAAAATAATGCTTTTGATAATTAAATTTAATACTCTACGGATGTAATTTGTGCTTATATTGATCAACGGGAGGCATTTGTAAAATAATAATTTTACAAATTATAATCGAAAAATTGTATTTTCAATGGATAGGTAAATATATTATTAAATTAATAAGTAATACGATTTATTGGCACTTATTGATGTTCTTGAAACTATTTAATCGTATGAGTGCAACTTATATTCTAAAAGTTCACTCTAACAGTAACTATCTGTTGTATTAAAAATACCGAATTCACGTTAACCAAGTTTTAGAAGTGAGCGTATTTTGCTTCGAATAATCAACCACAAAGAGAGAAAGGTTGTTAAAGTAATGAGGTTTTATGAAAGTTATAATATACATTATGTAGTATGATAAACTCTTTAGAAATAATATGATACTGGATTGAGAAAGTAAGTAAATCGATGTCACAGCTAGTGCACTGGCAATTATCTGCTCGTTATATTAGTTTGCAACAACTTTTGGCTATTTAATTGTATTTACACATCAAAGATTTGTATATTGAAGATCAATGTCTCAATATTATCTTGTGGGTGAAAAAATTTATTTACATAAAGTACTGAGAAATAATGATAGGAACTTTACGTAATGAAATAACAAATATACGCATCGATGTTTCATTTATTTTAAAATTATTCTACAAAACATCGTAAAAATCGTAACTATTATTTTGAAAAAGAAAAATAATAATTATTAATTTTGACCAACAAAAGTGTTGTTACGCGTTGTTACGACCTGGCCACCTCCACCAGACTTAAATACATTTGTTCGGTAAATTTCAATGAAAAATAAGAACATGTAGAGAGAAATTATCAATTAGCCCTTTGTTGTGTAACAACAAGACCTGCGAGAAAGCCTCTAAATAAATTACCAGCGAAGGCCAAACAAAAGAGTTGAGAGCGAAGTCTTATTTCAAAATATTTATACAGTCAATGGGTAAGGAAGAGCGAGGGGTGTGGGGAGGGGGGGGAGGAGGAGGCGCTGTCGGGACTTCACAGAGCGATGCATCGTCATCGAAATGCAGTTATACGATTAGAGTAATCCAATATCGCCCCGGTCGCTCCAGAGGAAAAGGTGGTTAAAAGGGTTAATGCGGATTAAAGAACACTTAAGCTGTCCGGTGCTGTAATTATGGGAAATTAAGTTAACACTACTCATCGGCACAATTAGTCCCATGATCCCGAGAATTCTAGTCCAGCTGATACGTATGAATTTTCTCTTTGTTGCCCTACGCTCGTTATTCCGGAGACTTATCATTATTGTTGGTAATTTAGTTCCATGAACACGAATATTGCCATGAGTATAGATAATTTTGTAAAATTTCTTTACTATTGCCTTCCGACTTTTTATCCGCGACCAACGGATGCAGGGTAATTGGTAAACATAGTCGCATTGTTTATCATCAAATTAATCTGTAATTATTCTATTGAAAGGAACTATCAAATTATTTATATAAGTTTATAGATGTTGCGAAGTAGCATTGATAATTTTACATACTTTTTTTTTAAACATTAATTTGAATTTTCTAATTTAATAACTCTTTTCCTTCATTACAGTTTATTGAATAATTAATGGCATATACAAAAAGTGTATTATACACTATTAATAGAATATCTATAGATATATGATTATGTTGTGTTATAATAATTATATTGATAAGAAAAAAGTTTCTACGTATCAAAATATTATTATGAAAAAATAATTATATTGTTTGATGCATCTATCAGAAAAATTGGGAATGATATAATTGTTATATAATTTATTATATTTTATTACTTTAACTACCATGTAAAATTGTAAACTTTACAATATATAAATTTATATAATACATATATCATTGATATCGATAACAAAACTATAAAGTATTTTAGCAACTAAATTTTTTAAACTTAAAAATACTATTTTAATAATAAAAAAAAAAAACATTAAATATTATATAAAAGACTATTGAATTTTAAATAATACATAAATATCAAAGGGTGGAAAGTGCGTATACATGAATGATTAATTGTAAGGTTCGTAGGAATTAAATAGATTTATGATATTTCCGATATATTGTCCTTTGTAAGATTGAGAGCTATTCGAACTTGGATACAGAATGTCCAATAAACGCTGGATTTTGTTAATAATGTAGGAAAATGACCCGTGATACCTTTATAGCATCAAAGTATTTTATGGGAATTCGAAATATCTAATCACGCCCATCTTCACATTATTAAAGTTTTTCAAACTATAAGGTCGGGAATTTAAATTAATAACCGTTAAATAAATTACTTAACCTTAATGTGCAAAATTTTTATAGGCCATTTGTGAAGTTAAATTTCTTGGATAAATTCAATGGTAGACACGTAAAATTAACGAACAAATTAGCGATGAATAAATTAGCATATGTATCCGGGTGGTAAAAATAACTACGTAATCATAATTAATATTTACATTATTTTAAGTATCGGTGTTAGTAAATTATGATAATTACGTGACAATTCATCCTAATGAGTCAAATGCAATAAAACAAAATGTATCATTTAGTAATTAATATTGAATTAATGTTTAAGGAGTGCACGAAAATTATGCCCAAATTTATTATTTTAAAGTGTATATGCAGCAAGTAAAAACTAAAATTTAATATCATTAGGCACATGTGAATATCATTTTTTTTTTTTTTTTTTTTTTTTTTTTTTTTTTTTTTTTGAGAATAGTGGAATCGTCATATTCTTCGGACTTATGGTACACAATCTTATTAAAACGATAACAACATTTACGCATAAATAAATACCGGAGTGATTGAATGCCAAGGCAGGATGAGGAGGCAATGGAGTGACAGAGGGGCGGGAAGGGAGGCACGTGCCTGCAACGCACTGTTAACTCCCTCTTTAAAAGTCGCTTGCGTGTATATGTTTGTATTTTGTAAGTGCGCGAGAGCAAATTACAGGTTGGCGCGCGTTACGAAATGTGAGGAAATATTTTCACTTGGGTGATTTGACATGCTTACACGCAATTCCGATTTTTTGTACCCATGCACTAGCGAGACATAATCCTGAATTTCTATGAACATATGCTGAGCGAACAATATTTAACGTCGATATAGTGATTTAAGTCCTTATCCAAGACCTAATTGTCAAGAGCTTATTAAACAGTGAATTTTATGAAACGAAAAATTATTCCCTATAGCAAGTAGCTCCTCTTTGATCACTTATTATACACTTTCTATTTTACGTTTAATAGTCTTAGGTTATTGTACTAGATTATTAAAATAGCGTATCAATTACGTTTGCATCTCACATTCCATGTGAGCACAAAATTTTTATAATAATATATTCAATTTTACTTCGTCTTCTGCCTCATCGTGTTAAATTTTCTGTTTCAACGCGAAATTATAAATAATTTAATAATTAATGTAATCGGCATTTCAATAACATGCATTATTATAGTCTGTTTTTATAGCAATATAATACATGAAATAAAACACTGAAATTAATATTACGTTCTTGTTTCTCTTTGGATACAGATTTAATTTCCAAAGGATGGTGATGCAAATAGATTTTTGATTTATAATAACATAAATTCAATCCATTATTCTTCAATACTTATCTTTTAAATGTTCTTTCTCCTAACAATCGATAAATTATAAATTAAAAGTCTTATTTATTTTTGTCTTTGGGTGGTACATTAAAAATGATTCCTTATATATGCAATAATAGTATTGATCCTATACACTGTATGTAAATATAAATTCATCCTGAACTTTTCAAATGCCGATGATAATTTTGCACAATTAAAGGGATTTAATGATTAAACATGACATTATTTTCAGCGAAATAAAAGTGCGATTACTTACCTCATTGGGCAAGGCGATGATCTTTGTGACTGCAATTTCCCCGCTTTCACTTGCATGCTGCCCGTAAAATTCCACGCCTGGCCTTCCAAAACTGTTGTGCCGTACATACGACCAGGGTCAAGGACAATATTAATACAATAAAATCTCCTCCAGTCGCAACGACTCATTCAATTTTATAAATTAACACGAGTGCTGGTTTACAGCGATTGCGTGAAAATGTAAACAAAAATAACAAACAACAAAAAGAGAACGAGAATGTGTGAGTGAGAAATGAGGTAGGCAAGAGGGACGACAAGCAATAAACACGAGGTTACCATTTACATAGGACGATGCACTTATTTGTCTTTTTTTTATATTCATTATGGATTTTTATGACGCAATATTATATAAAATATTATAAAAAAAAAAAAGAAAATTAAAAATCCTAATGTGATCTGCCATTCTTTTTAAGACACGTAACTGCCCGTTAGATGTACGAATAATAGTTAATGTCGGCTTGCAAATTTTGTTACATAAATTAAATTGCTTTGATACTACTATATATTGTATATCTTCCACACGTTCATGGATGTTAGTTTTATCTTTTGTAAATATATTAGAAGGCACTGTGCAAATTTCATAGTGAATGTTAATAAATTCTAATAATAATGAAAATATATAGTCCTGACATATATCAATTACTAATATTTATTCTTAAATACTCTGGACAAAAATTCAAAATATAACTTCAACAACCAATACAAATATCTTATTATTAATTTTATTTGTCGATTTAATCCTTATGTTTAATCACAAAATAAATTAATTTTAAATCCCTAAGAAGTTTTTCAACAATTTATACGAATTAAAGCCTTGCACAATAATTATTTTTAAGCATAAATTAATAATACAAATAATAATTAAAATCGTTTTATTCATTTGAAAGAAATGTCTTCTAATAGAATGATTGTGAATTATCATTTAAATTATTATATATTTAATTCATGTATATTATTTTTCTTATTTCGCTAAATTTAATCCTCAAATAAATGAACTACATTATTGAAATAATAACAGGTTTCGTGGTAATTGCTACAGATTTAATCTGCTCAAGTGCAACTTTTTTTCGTTTTACTTCTATATATCGTGGATATTTAGCACGAACAAAAGAGTAATAAATAAAACTTAAATATTTTCCAGATGTTTTGCTTTGATAGATATTCATAAACATATTTATTTAACAGGGCGAATAAAATGACCAACTTCACAAAACTTACGATTACTATTCATACATACGCCCATATGCATTCATATATGAATTTAGTGTTATATACGAAGATTTATCGTTGGCAATATTGAAATTAAGTTACTTAGAAAAATATTTTTAAGCGCTCAAATTATTGTTTTGGAAACGCAAGATTGTCAGAATTTTGCAATATAAATATTTTAGATTCATTAAAAATTAATAAATCCGTAAGTAATATAATCATCCAAAATAATCTAAAATTATAATAAAAAAACTAATGTAATTATAAATATATATATATATATAAGTACAGTGTACTTTAATTATATACAAAATCATAAAAGTCAAAAAGAAATATATATTATATATTTTTTAAATACCTACTAATACATAAGCGATTTAATAATTATTAGAAAATATAATTTGTTATCAATATTAATTAATTGCTTATAAAATTTAACAATTGTACTAATGGTTTAAAATTTATTCCTCATTGTTTGAGTGCAAGAAATATTTACTTTTACAAATGATATTTAATTTTTTTTTTAATGAAAAATATTTTGATACATGCAAACAGTAGTTCAAACATCTATAAAAGAAAATTATATAAATTTACAAGACATTTTAATAAGTTTCTCCGTTAATGTATATTGGGTCGAAATCCGTATGGTATTGCACGAACGCGCGCCTACACACACAAAATTTCAACTTAAATTAATTAAAAATTTTCAATTCAATTTACATAAAGAATACGTTAAATTTCTAATAATGACAACCGTACAGTTAGATAAAATCTAATGATACATTTTGTAGATATTTCCAAGAATTAATTATTCTTCATTAAACTAAAATGTTTAATTAATGAGAGCAAGCTATAAAATAGCTCAATATCAGAAAGAAAGATTATTAATCGAATTTAAATATAGTTAAGTACTCGGAAAATATTTAAAATTATAAAAGAATAATAAAGTTTAAGGAAGCAGCGACCAGAAGGATATGTAAATGCGGTGATAATATACGGTGTATAAAAAAATCATAGTAAGGATTAAAGATAAAAAGGAAGAGAGAGGTGGGCAGCCAGGAGGAAATACAGTTACCTTTAATCGAGATGAAAAAATATCAAGGTAGTGAAAGAGAGAGAGAGAGAGAGAGAGAGAGAGAGAGAGAGATAGATAGATAGAGAGAGAGAGGAAAATAGAGAGAAAAGGAGACAGAAAGAGAGAGACAAAAGTGGGAGTAACAGACAGACCGAGGAAAAGAGAGCAAAGGCTCTTGACGTCAGTTAGAAGAAGAATGAGAGCGAGAGAAGGAGAGAACGATCACACGAACGAAAGAAAAGGATACACTTTGATGGCTCCGGATGCCGTGCCGATGATCACGCGGGTCCAAAGCAAGAGCCGGCGGTTTATGTGGGAAGCCATGCTCAACCGTCTAGAAAAAGTAAAAAAAAAATTACATTATGAGTGGGCATGTATATATTGATAAAGATTTTATTTGTATAAAGAAAAATTAAGATTATCAAAACATCATCTAGTTTTCATTTAACTCCATCCATAATATTCCACAAAATTGGTTTAATAATTCCAACGGTAATAAATCATTTTTACCGTTACAAATAATAATCAAACTTATTATGACATTGGAATTGTTATTATTATAAATATTTCTTTAACATTCTTTTCTCATTTAACATCATTTATTCTCGTTTCTTACAATGTATAAAATGGCAAAAAATTAATTATATCATAATATATGAATAATTGATATATTATAAAAGTACTTTGTCTATTAATACCAAAAATTCTTTATTTTGAAATTGTAAATAAAATAATTGTTGATATATTTCTACAGAAATACATAAAAATTATAATGGTTCTATAATTTAAATAATAAATTATAAATAATATAATATTGAAATTAAGTACTTATGTGAATATATTATGTAAATTATAAAAACTATATAAATATATTTCATTTGTTTTATTGCAATTTACAATTTTATATCTAAAGAATATCATTTTTACTAAATTGTAAGTATTCGCATAAATAAAGCAATGTGGCAAAACTTCAGTTAAAATAAAAATCATACATTTATTAAAACCTCAACTGTTATTGATTCTACGATTGATAAAATATATAATTTTAACAAAATACATATACCACAATTCTTATGATTTCTGCTACAAAAAAGTTCACCTTGAACTTAAAATAAAATTAAGAAAAGTTGAAGCTCCTAGCCATATGTTATTAATCTATGTTTTTTCTTCTAGCTTTAACATAATAATAGTACATCTTACCAGAATTTCACACACTCATAAATAATTATTTAATATATTAATATAATTAATAAATAATGTGAATATTTTAATCATGTATGACTACTTAGTAAGAGGGATACGAGTTACTAGGAATTGGTAATTGTATATAAATAAAATATATAACCGGTTAATATTAAATATTACCGTTACAAATATAGATCTTCTATATTGTCATTAACAATTGTATTTTATATTGAATACCGCTGAAGTTATAAACTTATAATATTATAAATTACGATTAAATTAATATTGTAATACGGAAAACAGTAAATTTGGTAAACATAATTTTGCAACAGCTATGTCCTTGTCAATATTGAGATATTGCATATAGAACATAAAATATCGTATTTAGAAATTGAACAGCAATAAGCAACCAGTCGAACTTTTCCGCTTTTCACTCATACGCTTTCGTATTTTTTTTTTTTTTTGTTTTTTTTTTTTTTTTTTTTTTTTTTTTGAAGACTTCCTTGCAATCGGCAAATTTGGAGGTTCAAAGTTTGTTTAGTCAGCGTCGCGTGCGTGGGTGACCCGATGAGTCAGATTTAGCGATGTAATTCGAACAATACACTATTTATCGCGTGTCTTCGGTATCTCCTGGACATATTACTTTCGTAACTACAAAAATTATTTAAGTATACTTTATGCCGACGAGTACAATTCGTAATATTACGTCCATGTTTATTACTTCATTCGGACGAATCTCTTTATTGAGCATTATTATTATATATCAAGTGACATGTAAGTTTGCTCGTGTTTTGTAATCATTATTTTAAGAAGTCAGTTTATTGTGCGAAACTCGGTTATCAAAAGTAATTTTCTATTTTTATACATTTCTTTACATAGATAACTTAATTTATATATATAATATTATATAAACGTTTATCGAATTATTAACGTTATAATTGTAATCCGAATATACAAAGAAATTGATAAAATATAAAAATTACTGTATGAAATAAATTAATACATTTAAAACATTTTACGTTTCAATTAATTTTTAAATTATAATCGCATAATACTGTTAATTTATAAGAATTATTTCGAATATGAGAGACAAATTTTGAATTTTGAAATTAAAATATCCTACTTCCTACTCGAAATTGAATTAGCTTACCATTACAATAAATAAGAATCATTAAAAGAAAATCTTTAAGGAGCATACTAAATGAATTTTTACATAACGATATTTTTATAAGGAATATTTATGTGTACGATCATAGACACAGAGATTAAAGAAAACAAATAATCTAATAAATATATTATCCAACTGACTTAATTAATTTTAATTGATATAAATTAAAACTCATAGTTTATGATAATTTAAATTTGTTATATAATTTTTTTGCTTCTCTCGCGTATTACAATATATGGGCAAATTATTATAAAATTGTTATTTCATAAAGGTTAAAAGAAAACTTGGAACGTTATACTTGAAAAGTACCGTTTTCTCTAAAGGAATTTATGAGAATCATTAAATTTCGCTTTAATTTTAAACAAAGATATTAATATATAAATAAAAAATTTCAAGAGAAAATACGAATGTAATCGTAGACATGTATCAAAACCAGTTTCTCAAGAAATTTAATTTTTAAACATAATTTATAATCAACAAGAATGAAATAGGATGTAATATAAAATCTAACACTAATTAGATTAATATATTAACCTACTTGGAAGATTTATAATTTTCATACATTCTTCGTAACAATAAAACTGCTATGTTAAATAAAAAGTTACATATAAATTTATTGTTAAATAAAAAGCTCTAGGCATACAAATGTCATAAAATGTTATCATATTAGACTACATTATTGAAATTTAGTAAGATACATATTCCTATTCGTATTATGTACTCGTAAATATTTTCATTACATTCTACACAACGGGTTGCTAATTTAATTTAATCTAATAAATAAAATGAAATTCTAATCTCACTTTAGTAAAAATTATAAACTAATATAATCGATTTATTATTTATAATTCTAGTTTTTCACTAATGAAAATTAGAGATTCATTATTCATTCAACATTATGAATTATCGAAATATTTATTCCAAATCAGTTTTACTTTATATATTGTCTTTAGGGAATATATAAAAAATTAAGGAATTTATTTTTTATTTGTTAAACGTAGTAGGTATGAGAAAAGTAATTTATGAAATAATCATTTAATATTACATTATAAATGAATAATTAAGAGAATATTTTTTGCTACAAATTTTCCATATGTATAAATATAAATACTAATTATATAAAGATTTTGAATGAGAACGGTCATACACTTTATTTATACATTACGTTATTAAAAATAAATTAAATATGAAATATTTTTCTTGACAACAGAAAAAGAGATGTTCCTTAAAATAATACTATCCATGTCAATGCAGAATAAGAATCATTTTTTCAAGTTTTGTTCATCTATCATAAGATTATCAAATGTTAATATGAACCACATAAAGAAATAATCTTCGAATGTAATATTATTTTTGATTAATTTTCTAATTCCTTTAGCATGTAAATCTTACTTGTTTTATGGCAATTTGTGATTATTAATGTTTGTTTTTTGCACTCACAATTCCGTGTTTGTTCAATGTTTAATTTTTTAATACAATATTATATAAATTAAAATGATTATTCTGAATCTAACAGATCCCTGTGAATGAATAGCTCTTAAAAACTTTGTTAAGTATGATAAAAATTTGATCTCTTCTCGCACGGTTCTTTTATAGAATGAAGAATCGAAGCAGAAAGTAGTGACGTAATAAAAGAAAAGATTAAATTTGTTTCTAATATATTCGTATAGAATAAGAACTGATAAATCATTCAAACAAACATACTGGAAAAATAAAAAAAGATACGCTCAATAAACTAGGATTCTGGTAAAAATAAGCTCGCAATATTCACGATAACTCTTTCTACATACACACACGCACCTCCTAATAAAAAGCAATCATTTATTTTTGTTCATTAATTAAATTAATAAATTATAGGACCGATTGATAGAGAGAGCGGGAGAGAGAGAGAGAGAGAGAGAGAGAGAGAGAGAGAGAATGACGATTGCGACGATGTGTACGAGTGCAAACCGCACCCGCGATTTACCGTTAGGTTCCTGTCTCGCTTCTCTCCCACCTTTAGTCGATTTCCCGTCCCGCTCTTTTCCTCGTTAGCCACGTATATTGGAATTAGTATCGCGTTGCGCTACGTGAGCTATTATTACATGAGTCACTTTGCCGAGATTGTATGGAGAGAATAAGAGGACCGCTGCTGTACCTGACTTTTTCTCTCTCTTTTTTTTTTTTTTTTTTTTTTTTTTTTTTTTAAGTAAATACAGAAATTTAAGGAGCCCGTAAGTATCTCATCTCCACCCTCGCCTCACCCCATCATATTTTCAAGGAATATTGTTTCACAAAATTTACTCAGAAACTCAAGGTAGGAATTACTGTATCCAGTACGAATGCAGCAAATTATAATATTTCCACACACATTATCAGACCGACGGGTTAACATGTCCGTCCCCTGTAAAACCTATACACTCCAAACCCTACTTTAAAGTGAAACTTTCAGGCTTTTTATATAAATTGGTAAGCGGAAAATAAATATGTATTTATGTGAAAAATAATTACTGAAAGATATTTTCCTCTTTTATCATATTACAGAATATGAGTTTTCTATATTAATATAATTTTCCGCGGTCTCTTCGCCTACTCAAAATTAATTTTTTGTACCAACATTCTTTTCCTCTTGTATTGTAGTGAAAATTGACTGCATAAATAATAATAAAACAATTTAGACATTAAGGTTGAGTCATATTTCACAACACAAGCTATTGACTTATTACGAAGCTAAGTATAATTAAAGATAACGAGAAAGCTCTATGAAAATAAAATAAGATAAGCATTTAATAATACTATCAAAGCATTAATTTTTCATATCTGCGTGTAAGAATTCTCTTATTAATTGTTCGATTAAGTTTAATGTTCCAATTTATTATTGTCCCTTATATTATGTACACATTGACCTTGTGCACGTATGGAAGTTCTAACAACATTTCAATTAAATTGTTAAATTTCTTAAAAATAATAATATTATAAGTATCTAATTTTT